GAGTTGAGTTGAGTTGAGTTGAGTTGACTCTGGAGGAACTGACTGCATACTGAGGAGATCACCCAGCCATTTGATTCAGGTGTGTTGGACCAAGGATGGATCTAAAACTTGCAGGACACCGGCCCCCAGGAACTGGAATTGCCCACCCCTTCCCTAGGTTCACTGAGGAGAACTCACAGGAGTGTAACCACTGCTTTAGATGAGGAGAAGGAGGGCACAGAGTGATTGGGTGTTTGAAGTGAGTCAAGCCGTAGGGTGAGTGGACTCGGTCTCTGTTGAGGGACACTTAGAGATCGGCGAGCAATTCCAGTCCCAAGCAGATCAACCTTCAAGTCAGATAGCAAGAAGCCTCAAACAAAGACAACATCAGCGGCCTCACACACCCCTCAGCCAGGGAACAGTCACCTGTACAGCACCCCTGGTTGGAAAGAAAAGCCTGCTGAAATGCCTGCTTGGTGGCGACCCAATTACAGCCTTATGTGATTCAGAGTTGCAAGTGAGTATAATCGACCAAAATTGGACTGCCACTCATTTCAAAATATACAGTGAGACCCCCTTCTGAACTATTAGAGGAGGAAGTCAGTGTCCATGTAGTTAAAGGCCATGCAATAAAGTGGATGAGTGGCGCTCACTGTCAACTTAGCAGGAAACAATGACCCCAACCTGATCATACAGACTCCTTTCCTTGTCAGTCAGGGAAAGGAGCCTGTATGCCCCAGCCCTTTCTAGGAGCCAATGTACTTGAGAAGATCATCAAAAGGAAGGAGTCCTCAGGTGAGGCGGTTACCACAGTGATCAGTCTCCTCCGTGATGCTTTTAGAATAGAGGAGTAGCAGGTTGAGGCCATTGTGATTTTCATCCAGGTGCCTCCCAGGACATATGATGATCCAGTCACAATAAGAGTGGGTAGAAACCACACTATTGTCCCCCCTGACAGAACAACTCGTGTGGTGCAGAGTACCCAGAAAACTTTAAAAACTTTGCAAGTCCTCAATTTTTAAGTAGGTTTTGTGCTTTTGATTTTTTTTCTTCCCTCTTCTGTTTCAATTCTTGCATTTTGCAGTCAGTGTTTTGAAAAAAAAAAGTTTGTTCAGTCAGGATATTTTGGATACTAAGTATCAGGAGCCACCTTTGTTTGTTGGGGAGGGTGTGATGCACCATAAAGGGGGAGATTTTAATTACTAATATATACAGCAATTAAAAAATTGCAACCTCTCGATTTTTTTAATCCCTCAAAACTTTTGGGGTTTTGGTGTTAAGATTTTTTTCTTCCCTCTTCTGTTTTAATTCTTTAAATTTTGCAGTCAGTCTTTTAAAAAAAATGTTTGTTCAGTCAGGTTAGTTTGGATACTAAAGGGCAGATTAGACTTCTGCAACCGCACACATTAAATGTCGCTTGGGTCTGCTCGCGAACCAGTTTTGCTGGTATGCTTCTGCACCATCAGTCTTGAATTTCTAGGGATGCACAGCAGTTTCCTGCTAAAGGGCAAGGCGGAGCATATTGGAGAACTCGGGAGAATTTCGGCGGATTGTCACGAGAACTTTGTTTTGGCAAAGACTTTGGCATCTTTATATAATTTTTCTGAGGCATCGTACAAGTGGTTGTACTTCCAAACCTCCTCGATGAACCTTTTGTTGTAGTTTTCCATTGTAGATTTTAAAAATGGCGCACCCCGGCACCGAATCAAGAAGGACGACCCCACAGACAGCCGGAAAGGCATAGCAAGGACCAATCACAGCTGCTTTTTGTCTGCACACTTCCATTTGAGGTCTGTGCGGGTTTGCGACCGTCTGACGCGTAGTCAGGATTTTTTTGAGGTGCGCTTTGAAGAACCTGTGCGCGGGGGTTGTGGTCGCGCACAGAGACAGAGTTGACGGTTGCAGAGGCTATGCGTCAGAAGCATGAAATGGCCAGGAGCTACCTTTGTTGTTGCGAGTGTGTGATGAGCCATAAAGAAGGAGATTAGAATTACTTATTTATACAGTCAATAAAAAGAAAACTTAATAAAATTGAGCTCTGAATATGATGCAAAAAAAGAGAAAAAGAAGGAGAAACGCGAGAAAGCAGAAATAGCGGAAAGAAATGCAAACGGGGGCCAAAAGCCAGGCCATGTGGAAGAGGATGAGGAGAGGTGGCCCTCTCCTATGGAGCCCTTAGAGTACGGCACTGACCAGTAAATCATCGCCTCTAGTTCCACCTCCTCCTGAAGCAGAGGATAAGTTAGATGAAGAAAATAAGTTCATGTTGAAGGCTAACAAGGAGCTCCAAGAGCAGGAAACGCCAGATGTGGCTAGACAGTTTGGGGAAGAAGATGGCGGTTGTTCCTTCCTTCACTGAAGCTTTTCCTGTTTACAGGTTTTCCACTTAGAAGAAAGGAGAAGCATCAATAAACATCAGTCGTTACAATCGTTTCAACCAAGCTGAAACGTGTAACATACGCATCTTTGTTCCTCTCTCCATAGAAAGCTTCGCACTGAAGAGATTTTAATGAATTTTATTTAATTATTTAATTAATTTGATATTTAATATGGAAAAAAAACTGAAAACATAAAATTTTCTAAAGAAAGTTAAAAAAAACATTTGGGAGAAATTATTATTTAATGCAGAAATAAAACTTTTTTTTTAAGATCTATTTCTGGATTGTATTTATTTATTCTTTTTAGTTTCCATTTATAAACATGTTCTTTGCATGCAGCAATAATTAAACAAAATTCACTCCATAGATAAGCAGCACGGTTGAAGCTCCAACAGAAGGCCTTTCATCTCCAGTTTCCATGGCTACTACACACTGTCTGATTTAGCTTCACTTTCATTATTTTACTGCAAGTTCCATTTTCTACATGTTAATTACATGATATGAAGATGCTACCAGGGTTCCCGTCTGTTTAGCAGTTTAATCTTTGACCTCACCATTAATCTATGATCCCATTTAGTTCAAATCTGACTCTGCTTCATACACGTGTGTTAAGTTCTTGATAGAAGATAAAGAAATCAGCTGTTATAAATATAAGCAGCTAAATTCATCAAAAGATGAGTAAACATATATATTTTTAAATCAACATATACATGCATGGCTTTCGAGCACACTCTGAAGTATACATATGACTCAGCTGTAGTTGTAGGAGAAGTTATAAGAGCTAGGCTCCTTTGGCACTGGAGGCGGGGCTTCTGGGATGGTGATGTTCTCAAGGTCGAGGAGGCGGAGCTTCATCTCCATGCTGATGAGGGTATCTAGGTCGCTGCGTGTCAGGTCACTGCCCATCTCTCTGCCCAGCAGCGCACACAGCCCGTCGGTCCAGATGCAATACTGCACATATGGACACACACATCGAACACACACAGAGGAGCTTTGGTGAGTGAAGATCCTTCACAGCCAAATTCTATGACCCCAGTGGCTCTAAAAGGATTTACACCCAGGGGATCAGGTAAAGGTTCCAATTCCAAACATTACTGCATCCAGCCAAGGCCGTTAGATAAAGGCAGACTATGAAAACAGGCTAGAGCTGAATTCACTCTTTTTACCACTGAGACTGAAAACACTTCAGCAAAAAGTCAGAGCTTAGAAATATCGACTTACCTCGTATTTGTTTGGTGCAACAAAATTAAGGGTCTCATCCGGATCGTAGAGGACAGAGAAGGCCAACTCCAGCACCTCCTGAAAGAACCGAACAAATTCAGCCACAACAACAGCAGCAGCAGTGAGCAAAAGACATGAGAGAACAGACAGAAATGCACCTTGTTTTGTTTCAGAGCACTTTTCTCTTTCATATGAGGGCAGTCCTTTCCTGTTAACACAGACTTGATGTCTGAGACAGGGACTGAAGAAAGAGGAAAGAAAACAATAATTAGAGAGGTTTGTTCTTTGATCCGGATGTAAGAGAATCACCACAACATAGTGCATCTTACTCTTGTCACTTAGCAGCTCAAAAGGCACTTCACCCTGAGGTGACTCCTCCAAATCCCCATAGTGCAGAACTTTGTGGTTAAGAGATAATCGGCAGAACCAGAACTTCTCTACAAAAAAACAACACAACAGAATAATTGTAAATGTTTTGTCACAGTGGAGCAGTTCAGGGGTTTTTAGCAGCAAGTGAAGAATATATTGTGTTGCTAAAACGTGTTGAAGTTACAATTCTGCTAAATGTGTAATAAATGTTCCTGTGACCAGTTTCTTTTAAAATACAAACATGTAAACTTCTCTCCAAGCTCATTCTGAACATTTCTAACATACATGAGGCCCCAAATATGTCACAGGTACGGTAGCAGCCATTCAAAATGGCCCTTCCCAGTCAAACACCAGCCTAATGGCAGCCCACTTCTCTGCAACTCCCAGTGAAATCTCCTCCACCTTACAGCCGCTGGAGTGTTTGTTTACTCTGACTCCACCTTTTCACTGAATTACAAGGTCTGACCAGGAGATGGTGCTTCTCTTTAGATCTTAATTTCCACAAATCATGAAAGAAAGAATATTTTACAAATATTGACATTTCAAAAGGAATTGTAGGGGACCATCGAAGGGCCAGCCAAGGACCAGCAAAGGAGACAGAAGGCAGAGATACAAAAGGCAACTGTAAAAGGCGGCCCCTTCCAGGAAACAAACAGCCAGGCACCTCCTGACAGAGAAGCTTTGTGTATGTGTGGCTCATGTTCAGTTGGGAAACGGAGGAGAGTCGCAGCTTCAGCGTCTGACTGTGGTTTGCAGGAGGGAGGGGCTCACTCTCCCGCTTCTCGCTGAAGAAACTAAACCCACTTGCTTGCACGTTGTCACCAAAGTCCACAACAAGACAGGAAATGGTCACTAGATTTATCCCTTGTTACTGTTCTGAAAAAATGTTGTGACGGGTCTGAAAAGGTACCTAAATATAGGGAAAAAGTTGCTTAGTTGGCTCACCTGCCTCTGTGAGCTGATGGCAGTCTTAAAGGGATAGTTCAGGTTTTTTGACATGAAGTTGTGTGAAATGTTCACCGTCTGCAGCTGCTGTGCTGCAACAGTTTCCCTACGTCACCAAGCCTCCTGCCCTGAGTGACGGTCGGTAACCGACCAGTTACAGTATGGTATGGGGGTCAAAGATTTTTAAGCTAGAAAAATTATCCATGTGTTTGGTTAGACCATTTCAACAATTGTAAAACATCCCAGTGCTATTGTCAGACCTTGATGTCAGTTAGGACTATTTTTTGGCTGCTATCTGCTTCTGTCTCACACTGAGCCTGGTTCTGCTGGAGGCTTCTTCATGTTAAAAGGGAGTTTTTCCTGTCGCTACAAGCATGTTTAGTGTGTTTTCCTTAGATAGAAAACTTTGAATCAATTTGATTGGATGATCTGGTGAACTGTAAAGTGCTTTGAGATGACATGTGTTGGCACTATAGAAATAAACTGTATTAAAATGAATTGAATTGGTTGGAGGACTGTCACAACCTGGCTCTGGTATTGTGACAAAAAAGGACACTAGTCAAGTTCTTGTAAGGAACGTTGCAAGAAATAAAGCGCTTATTAAAAGGGGTCTAAATAAATGTTGATTTTTGTTTCTCCAAAAAGTGATAGAAAATGAATTTGCAATTAATTTAAAAATGATTGATTGAATAAAATAGCATGTTATTACTCCTTTTAATTGATATGTGCAACAGAATTGATTAATTTAAAAAAATGTGTGTTGAGAAATTAAATAACCTGGGAAATCAATATCAGAGATGTTAAAGGAATAGTATACCCAAAACATGATTAGCCTTCATTTTCTACTCACCCCCATGCTGAACAACACTCTGGAGTACTTTTTTGATATCTCAAATGCATCT